GCGGCCTCTCTATTCCTCCCATGCATAGTGATAACATCCCTTCAGAGACGATTCAGAATGCAGACGGCTGGAGGTGATCCGTAGGAAGGCATATGACAAACGAAGCAGGGCTCGGTATAGGATTAGGAAGGAGTTGGAGAGGGTCCAGGATGATAAGATGGAACTCTATAGGAAGGCTAAGGATGATAAGATGGTCAGTCAGGGGGGAGGGGGGTAGTCGACTCCTGCTCCTAGGCTGCTACAGAGTTCAAGTGCCGACAAGATGCAGATGCTGCGAGGGTTCTACACGAACTTAGGGAATATGTTAGACGATCTCAGTGGGTCCATCCGGGTTCGATCCCTGGTGATGGCATCTTTTGTTAGTAATAAGGCTGCGGAAGCACGTATGAAGTTAGTAGAGGAACGACAGGCTCGGAGACGTGCGGAGATGGAAGAGAAATATAAGAAGGAGGAAGCTTTGATGAAGGCAACGGTGGAGGATATTGAGATGATGGAAAGGGTAAGGGGGGAGGGGGTTGCTGATGATGGCAGTATAGCTAGTCAGGAGGAGAGGCGTCTTATGGAGGAATTACAATATAAGCAGAAGAGGCAACTAGAGGTATACCAACATCTGGAACATATACTACAAGTGATCATCATTATCATCATACAATGGTATCATATATGGATACATGCATATTCAGGCTACTCCACGCTCATCATCCATTCTATCGGGTTATCATCAACATCAGGAGGAGGGGATGATAGATGGACAAGTGATGGTGACCCATCACTATGGGGATACTATTAACGAGCGGGCTAGTGTGTCCAATACTGGGATCATACACAATGATGTAGAGGTATTGTCTGATGAGGAGACAATAACAACAACACCAGCACCAGTAGTGTCGTATACAACAACGACAACAACAGCTGATCATCAACATCAACAACACTCTGAGGAGACGACTACGGCACCAGCAGCAGAAGCACCAGTAGTGTCGTATACAACAACAACAGCTGATCATCATCATCAACATCAACACTCTGAGAAGACGACTACGGCACCAGCAGCAGCAGGACCAGTAGTGTCGTATACAACAGTAGACGGAGTGGTAGTGTCACTAAGTGATATTCTGGATGGTCTCCATGATGTATGATGATGATGAT